AAAAAAAAAAAAAAAAAAAGGCAGTGTTTAGCAAAACAAGAGTATTTATATATAGGATGTCATCTCCCTAAATAAACACACCATTCCCAATTAATTGACTTCATTGCTCCTTAGGGTCTACCAAAAATAAAAATTACAGCAAGTGAGTGGCCAGCTTCACGTATCTACAAGCAGATGAAAGGTCTGTCCTTTTGTGATTAACAGGTAAGGCTAGAGAGAGTCAATGTCCCAGTCAAGTAGGATAGGAGGATTCCATTCTAAACAGAAAACAGAACCAGTACAAATGCCAGGAATCACTACATAACACCTTGGCACACAACATGAAAGTCAGAGAGAAGCGCTACAGCTCAGGGAGCACCTGAACCTGAAACATGGCCTGTGAAATATATTGCCAGGCAGTTGGCAATAAGGAGGCTGTTAACACATGTGTCCACTGTATCCACTGCGGAGAGTTATTTCTCCCGTCCTTCCTTCCTTTGCTTCTACCCTGTTGTTACCCTTCATTTTCACTTTCTTCACAGACCATGATATTACATAGATAATTGAAAGTATGAACTCTGTTGTCATTTAAAAATGTACATCCTGCTTAGAAGCAGGAACAAAAGTTAGAAAGATTATAAGAATAGAAGGTTGTTTCATTTTTTTCTTGCCTCCTCCACCAAGACTCCACATTGGTTACCTTCATATTGTGATCAAACTGGACTATTCACCATTTCCTGAACCCGCTCTTTTCCTGCCCCACCCATGCTGTTCTTAACTCAGAATGCTGTATACACTACCCTTCATCTCAGTCTAAAATATGCCATACTGTCTTCAGAAGAAGCAAAAATGGCATCTCCAAGAAGCCTGCCAGAAAGAACTGAGATCTCTTAATCTATCTTCAGGTGCTTACTCACAATTTTATTTACAAATACAATCACATCCTTGCATCATGCTTATTTGTGTATGTTCCCTCTTACTGCAGATAGAGGTTCTATCTGCAAAACCTCTCAGTGTAAAAATTATGTTTGTGCCAGGCACGGTGGCTCACGCCTGTGATCCCAGCACTTTGGGAGGCCGAGGTGGGCAGATCATCTGAGGTCCGGAGTTCAGGACCAGCCTGACCAACATGGAGAAACCCCATCTCTACTAAAAACACAAAATTAGCCAGGCATGGTGATGCATGCTTGTAATCCCAGCTACTCAGGAGGCTGAGGCAAGAGAATCGCTTGAAATGGGAGGTGGAGGTTGCGGAGAGCCGAGATCACGCCATTACTTATACTCCAGCCTGGGCAACAAGAGCGAAACTCCATATCAAAAATTAATAATAAAATAAAAATAAAAATAAATAAAAATCACGTTTGTTTTTTATGTTTCCATAACAATTAGAGAAATTTGGCTGGGCTCAGTGGCTCACGCCTGTAATCCCAGCACTTTGGGAGGTGGAGGCGGGTGGATCACGAGGTCAGGAGTTCAAGACCAGCCTGGCCAAGATGGTGAAACCCCATCTCTACTTAAAAACAAAAAAATTAGCCACGCATGGTGGCAGGCGCCTGTAATCCCAGCCACTTGGGAGGCTGAGGTACAGAACTGCTTGAACCCAGGAGGCGGAGGTTGCAGTGAGCCGAGATCATGCCACTGCACTCCGGCCTGGGCAACAGAGCGAGACTCATCTCAAAAAAAATAATAATAATTAGAGAAATTTAACCCTCAGTGTTGCTTTTAAGTTAAATAAAGGCTAGACGCGGTGGCTCACGCCTGTAATCCCAGCACTTTGGGAGGCCGAGGCAGGCAGCTCACGAGGTCAAGAGATCAAAACCATCCTGGCCAACGTGTTGAAACCCCATCTCTACAAATATTACAAAAATTAGCTGGACGCGGTGGTGCATCCCTGTAGTCCCAGCTACTCGGGAGGCTGAGGCAGGAGAATCACTTAAACCCACGAGGTGGAGGATGTAGTGAGCCGAGATCGCGCCACTGCACTCCAGCCTGGCAAAAGAGCAAGACTCCGGAAAAAAAAAAAAAAAAAAAAAAGAGTTAAATAAAGATTGGAACTGAATGTCATCCTGAGCCCAGGGTTTCAGACCTAAGTAAAACAATCAAAGGCATATATCTTCATTCCTCAGACTAATCGGCTGTGCAGAGGTTGTGCTGTGAGGCACCTGCAAATCTTCTGTTGCATACTCCCAACACCAAGAGAACCATGCCAGCTCCACAACACAGAACCACTCGAAAACTTCAAGTATCCTGGATATTATTCAGCAATGTATTTAAAATAAAGTAAAGTCGGATGCAGTGGCTCACTCCTGTAATCCCAACACTTTGGGAGGCTGAGGCAGGCGGATCACCTGAGGTCAGGAGTTCAAGACTAGCCTGGCCAACGTGGTGAAACCCTGTCTCTACTAAAAATAAAAAAATTAGCCAGGCATGGTGGTGGACACCTGTAATCCCAGCTACATAGAAGGCTGAGGCAGGAGAATCACCTGAACTTGGGAGGCGGAGTTTGTAGTGAGCGGAGATCACACCACTGCACTCCAGCCTGGGCAACAAAAGCAAAACTCCATCTCAAAATAAAAATAAATAAGAGAAAGAGTTTTCAGGCAAATTCTTCTCTGGGTATCCTGCTGTTTTAACTCCTAACAAAACAAATGAATCAAAATGTGGTCCACCTAGAGAGGAGAAGTACCCCCCAATGTTTGGAGATTCTAAGGCATTACCTACACATGTGCTGTTGTCTCTTAGCCTGCAGAAGAAGACATATAGGCCTCATCCCCATAAGAGACCAAACACCTCAAAAACCCAGATGTCAAATTTTCTAGGAAACTCTCTCGGACTGCTCAAAGAGTAAAATTTGATAGAAATAGGAAGCATTCAGCCAGGCGGGGTGTCTCACACCTGTAATCCTAGCACTCTGGGAGGCCAAGGTCAGGAGATCAAAACCATCCTGGCCAACATGGTGAATGAAACCCAGTCTCTACTGAAAATACAAAAATTAGCTGGGCGTAGTGGCGGATGCCTGTAACCCCAGCTACTCGGGAGGCTGAGGCAGGAGAATGGCTTGAACCCGTAGGCAGAGATTTCAGTGAGCCGAGATCGGGCCACTGCACTCCAGCCTGGCGACAAAGCAAGACTCTCTAAAAAAAGAAAAGAAATAGGAATCATTCACTAGTGATTTATGATTGATATCAACTAAGATTACTTAGAAAGTCTAGAATCACACCTGAGATATTACTCCTTACATTTCATTTGCTTTTTTTTCTGGATTCAAATCCTGTAGGCAAAATCAGTTTTAAAAAATACAGAAGCGCCTTTTTAAAGAATAAACAGTTTCAAAAAAACAGCAAATTCAAAAGGATAGTAGATTAAATTTCAACATTGACTTTAATCAAAATGTAATTTTAGGCTGTTTAGATTCCCTGGGCCTGTTTCTTAAACCTTTACAATGGGTGTCCACTATATAAGGTTTTTTCCAAGAAACAAATGAAACAACATGTAAAACATCTCAGCACAGTTCCTAACACATAGGAGACCTACAAAAGTCAGTAATTCTTTTTATAGTCTGTCTCTAGAATACATTGACACTAGATTCATTCCTATAACTAGTTCTCCGTCTAAATACAGTTGTCCAAGGCTGGGTGCCATGGTTCACGCCTGTAATCCCAGCACTTTGGGAGGCTGAGGCAGGCGGACCACAAGGTCAGGAGTTCAAGACCAGCCTGGCCAGTATGGTGAAACCTCATCTCTACTAAACATACAAAAATTAGCTGGGCATGGTGGCGGGAGCCTGTAGTCCCAGCTACTCCGGAGGCTGAGGCAGGAGAATCGCTTGAAACCGGGAAGCAGAGGTTGCAGTGAGCCGAGATTGCACCAATCTCGAGATTGCACCACTGCACTCTAGCCTGTCTCAAAAAAATAAATAAATAATAAATAATAAAAAAATAAAAAAAAACTAGAGTTGTCCAATATGATGGTTATTAGCCATATGTGACTACTGAGCACTTGAAATGTGGCTAGTCCGAGATATGAGCTTTAAGTGTAAAATACTGGATTTCGAAGACTTAGTGAAAAAAGTAACAGAAAATCTTGTCAATATTCTGTATATTGATTACATGTGAAGTGATAATACTTTGGATATTCGGGATTAAATAAGATATATTATTAAAATTAATTTCACCTTTTTGGCTCACATATTTCTATTGGACGGTCTAGTCTATACTTTGACTTCAAGCTGGTAATTATGCTCTCTTAACCATGCAGTGGACTGCTTGACAGATGCCACTCGGGCTAAGCCACCCCTTATCCAGCAGACACTCATTTTAACGCTCCCAACTTCCACAACCGGGGAAAGCTAGCGACCTAAAACTCTTAATTTTAAAAAATTCAGATCCCACAGATCTGCTGAGGAAACGCGACTGTTACCAAGAGACACAGAAGAGATGTCTTGAAGGAAAAGCCCCCGTGGGTGTCAGTCAGTCCTACCCTTAGGAACTTCAGCATAAAAAGGTCACCCTTAGGAAAGTGAGAAGGGGCGACGGAACGAGCAAATCAGAAGGAGCCCAATGTGGAGCCCATGGAGTAGAGATCTGAGAAGGAAAAGCCTTTCAGCTTGTGGGGACGGGGGGAAGAGAGGGGGCGAGTCTGAAGCCAGCGGCCAAGGGGCTCCGCTCCAAGCCGGAGACTATAGAAAAGAGCAGTACCTTAAGAATCCCCCTCATCTTTGCCAAAAAGGGGCGGAACTCCTCGGGTGGCACCTCTGGATACAGCTGGCTCCGTAGCAGCTCCTCTGTAATGCCGGGGTGCCCGTGGAAAGTGTCCTGGGCTAGCGCATTCAGCAGCCCGTTCAGGGACTTGCCGCCCTCAAGCTCGCCCGCCGCCATGCTCTACGAAAGCCCCGCCCCGCAACAGCTGAGCCGTGCCCCGCCACGGCGGCCGAGATGTGCCTAAATAGCCTGTGCAAAAGCACCACGGGGAAGCTGGAGGCAAGGCTTCCCCAGGGGTCAGAGTTGGCAGCTTACAGCTTTGCTCTGCAAAACCCATCCCCTTAGGATACCTCCACGGAAATATCTGTTTGGTTCTAGGAGAGTCACTTTGCTTCCCCTGATCCCCTTCATCACTGCAGAGCCTACTGGAAAGAAAGATTGCTCGCAGAGATTATTGGAGATGGGGTAGCAGCCTACAAGGTTGGCAGTTTTAATTTTTAGATGGCTGTATCTCATTCCAGGCCTTGCCAACCCATTAGCTGAATAGGATCGATCACTCAGATTTAATCTCTGCTAATCCTTACCTGTCATCCTTTGTTCCAGAAAATTTAACTATCTCCTGATTACATAATGTTTTTGTTTGGGTTGTTAACTGCCTTTTTATATACACTTGTCTTGTCTTTCCAGCTAGATCAGTGGTTCTGATCCAATGTTCTTTTATATAACAAATATTTTGTTAACACCTCATTTACTATCCTGATATTAAATGCATAGCTAATACAACCTCCCACCCATATAATTTCAAAAAATCAATATATTATTCAGCCATAAAATTGAATAAAGTACTGATACATGCTACAATATGAATGAGACTTAAAAACAGGGTAAGTAGAAGTCAGACATAAAAGGCCAAATATTGGACATCTCATTCATATGAAATGTTCAGAATAGACAAATCCACGGAGACTGAAAGTACTGTAATAGCTGCCAGAATCTGGAAGAGGGAGCAAATGGGTAGTGACTGTTTATAGGTACAGAGTTTCTTTGGGGCATGATGAAAACATTCTGGAAGTGGAAGCACAACCTTGTGAATATACTAAAACCCACTGAATTGTACACTTTAAAAGATTAGTTTCACAGTATGTGAATATCTCAATTTAAAAATCAATTTAATGACCTAATTGTAATTTATCATAAAACTAAAAGGAAAGTAATTTATAATATAATATGTGTAAATGTTTGGGTACACCTATACTAGTTGACTAAAAGACATATAAAGTAGCCAGATGTCTGCATCTTTACATCTTTATGTAGAACCACCTGTGACTTCTACAAATGCAAATCGATACAGGTGTGCGGTATTGGTGACTCCAGAGGGAGGGCAGTTGCTTCTGGTAACATGATGTTCTGAAATGTGAACAACAGTTGGTAAAGTTCACAACAAAAAACACTCTCACTCTACAGTCATTGCAAAGCTGGAATATTCTGTATATATTAATGCTAAACTAAAAATACATTGTGTTGCCGGGCTCGGTGGCTCAAGCCTGTAATCCCAGCACTTTGGAAGGCCGAGGCGGGCAGATCACGAGGTCAGGAGATCGAGACCATCCTGGCTAACACGGTGAAATCCCGTCTCTACTAAGAAATACAAAAAAACTAGCCAGGCGAGGTGGGGGGCGCCTGTAGTCCCAGCTACTCTGGAGACTGAGGCAGGAGAATGGCATGAACCCCGGAGGCAGAGCTTGCAGTGAGCCGAGATCATGCCACTGCACTCCAGCCTGGGTGACAGGCTCAAAAAAATAAAAATAAAATAATAACAATAATAATAATACATTGTGTTTATATATAAAATGGAGTTTGATTTTAGGCTTAGATAATAACAAACACATTTTTCACCTTTATGAATATACCCTGCATGGGAAGATGTCATATTTCTGACCTCTCTCCCACCTATTCCATTCCTACCCTTCCTTCAAAGTGACAACTGAGGTTGGGCACAGTGGCTCACGCCTGTAACCCCAACATTTTGGGAGGCTGAGGCAGGTGGATCACCTGAGTTCAGGCGATCAATACCAGCCTGGCCAACATGGTGAAGCTCCATCTCTACTGAAAATACAAAAATTAGCCAGGCATGGTAGCATATGCCTGTAGTCCCAGCTACTTGGGAGGCTGAGGCAGGAGAATTGCTTGAACCCAGGAAGTGGAGGTTGCAGTGAGCTGAGATGGTGCCACTGCCCTCCAGCCTGGGGGACAAGAGCAAAACTTCGTCTCAAAAAAAAAAAAAAACTGACAACTGAAATGCCCTTTTCAAGGCAGTGCCACACTGTTGAGAATTTACTCATCTAGCCTGTTTTAATTAATGTTTATCCAGTAAAGAGCCATCTCTTTTTTTTTTTTTTTTTTTTTGAGACAAAGTCTTACTCTGTTGCCCAGGCTGGAGTGCAGTGATGCAATCTCAGCTCACTGCAACCTCCACCTCCCAAGTTCAAGTGATTCTCCTGCCTCAGCCTCTCGAGTAGCTGGGATTACAGGCATGCGCCACCACGCCCAGCTAATTTTTGTATCTTTTGTAGAGAAGGGGTTTCACCATGTTGGCCAGGCTGGTCTCAAACTCCTGACCTCAGGTGATCTGCCCACCTCAGCCTCCCAAAGTGCTGGGATTACAGGTGTGAGCCACTGTGCCCGGCCAGAGGCATTTTTGATAATAGAAAAAAATATATTTCTTTTCCTAAAATAATTTTATAAAAGGCAAATTCAGAGTCACTTCCATGGCTCCAAGTAAACCAAACTTAGAGACAAACTATAGGTTGTTTTACATGTACTTACAGAAGTTGCAGAGAATGGCTGGTAGATAAGAAAAAGCATTAAATGAAAGAGTGGCAAGCAGAAACAGCACTATTAAAAACATAATTTACAAATTACCCACCAGAAAGGCTGCACCTATTTATTCCTACGAAACCTTACTAACACTGACTGATATTATATTTTTTAATTTAATCTAATTTAATTTTTGAGACAGGGTCTCACTCTGTTGCCCAGGCTGAAGTGCAGTGGCACGATCTTGGCTCACTGTAGTCTCGACCTCCCAGGCCCAAGTTATCCTCCGATCTTAGGCTAAGTAGCTGGGACTATGAACACACAGCACTGCACCCAGCTATATTATTCTTTATAACCTTTGCCATATGATACATGAAAAATATTATCTCACTTTTAATTTGCATTTCTTAAATTTTGAGAGTAAATACTTTTTTACTATATTTATTGGCTGCTTGTATTTCTTCCTATTTCCTTGTCCATTTTCTATAGGGGTTTCTCTCACTTCAGTGATTTTTTTTTTTTGAAGGTGGAGTTTCACTCTTGTTGTCCAGGCTAGAGTGCAATGGCACAATCTCGGCTCACCACAACCTCCGCCTCCCAGGTTCAAGTGATTCTCCTGCCTCGGCCTCCCAAGTAGCTGGGACTACATGCATGCGCCACCAGGCCCGGCTAATTTTTGTATTTTTAGTAGAGATGGGGTTTCACCATCTTGGCCAGGCTGGTCTCAAACTCCCAACCTCGTGATGCACCCGCCTCGGCCTCCCAAAGTGCTGGGATTACAGGTGTGAGCCACCACGCCTAGCCACTTCAGTAATTTTTTTTTTTTTTTTTTTTTTGAGACAGAGTCTGGCTTTGTCGCCCAAGCTGGAGTGCAGTGGCCGGATCTCGGCTCACTGCAAGCTCGGCCTCTCGGGTTTACGCCATTCTCCTGCCTCAGCCTCCCGAGTAACTGGGACTACAGGTGCCCGCCACCTCGCCTGGCTAGTTTTTTCGTATTTTTTAGTAGAGACAGGGTTTCACCGTGTTAGCCAGGATGGTCTCGATCTCCTGACCTCGTGATCCGCCCGTCTCGGCCTCCCAAAGTGCTGGGATTACAGGCTTGAGCCACCGCGCCCAGCCCACTTCAGTGATTTCTAAGAGCACTTTATGCGTAGAAATATTAATGCTTGTTACCTACATGCAAATATTTTCCCCAAGTTTATATAGCCAAATCTAGGCCGGGTACAGTGGCTCACGAGGTCAAGAGATCAAAACCATCCTGGCCAACATGATGAAACTTCATCTCTACTAAAAATACAAAAATTAGCTGGGTGTGGTGGTGTGCACCTGTAGTCCCAGCTACTCAGGAGACTGAGGCAGGAGAATTGCTTGAACCCAGGAGGCAGAGGTTGCAGTGAGCCCAGATCGTGCCACTGCACTCCAGCCTGGTGACAGAGTGAGATTCCGTCTCAATAAAATAAAATAAAATATAGTAAAATCTATCAACCTATGTAGAAAAAGTCTGGAAGTTTATTCACCAACGTATAGTGTATATCTCTTAGTAACTGAGGATGGCTTTCTGCTTACCTGATTTTTCTAAATATCTACAGTGGACATGTAATACTGTTGTAATAAAAAGTTATTTAATGAAAAAATTAAATAAGTAGTAGGTTCTAAAACAAAATTCTTTTTTGTGGGGGGACAGGGTGTCACTCTGTTGCCCAGACTGGAGTAAAATGGCGAGATCTCTGCTCACTGCAACTTCCACTTCCTGGGTTCAAGCAATGCTCATGTGTCAGCCTCCCGAGTAACTGGGATTACATGTGCGCACCACATTGCCCAGCTAATTTTTATATTTTTAGTAGAGATAAGGTTTCATCATCTTGTCCAGGATGGTCTTGAACTCCTGGCCTCAGGTGATCCACCCACCTCAGCCTCCCAAAGTGCTGGGATTACAGGCATGAACCACCGTCCCCAGCAATAAAAATCTTTCAATGAAAGCTTTAAAGGACGTGTATTCTACATTACAGATAAAAGCCATTGCTTTTAAAAAAAAAAAAAAAAATGTGTTTTGGTCAGGCACAGTGGCTCACGCCTGTAATCCCAGCATTTTGAGAGGCCGAGGCAGGCGGATCACCTGAGGTCAGGAGTTCAAGACCAGCCTGGCCAACATGGTGAAACCCTGTCTCTACTAAAGATACAAAAATTAGCTGGGTGTGGTGGTGTGTGCCTGTAAACCCAGCTACTCAGGAGACTGAGACAGGAGAATCGCTTGAATCCAGGAGGTGGAGGTTGCAGTGAGCCAAGATCACGCCACTGCACTCCAACCTGGGTGAGAGAGTGAGACTCTGTCTCAAAAATAAATATAAAAATAAAAGTGTTTTAAAATTTTTATTTTCCATGTCCACTGAATATGAA